TCGTCTACTCCACATCCTATCATGCTTTTGTATCTCTAAGACATCGCTATCATTATTTGGTATTTTTGCATTGACGTGTTGTCACTCCTTCTGCCTGGTCAGTGCACAGAGCTTTGGAATGAATAGGTTATGAAATAAAGCTGCCATTTGGGTAGCCCATCTGCTGTGAGATGTCCTCTGAAAAGATGTTGCATTCATATTCTTGGTGATCTCCCTTAGTCGTCTGTTGTTTTTGAACGTAACTGGGTTGATTTGGCAAACAGATTATAGTGGTTGGTATCTAGTGACGATTGCGATGAATTATTGGGATCTTGGAGGGATGAGGTGTGATAACCGCCAATGAAATAACGGAAGTGGCATTAATATTGTAGGTTCGGGTTCTGCAGTCGTCGGTGCGGCCATAGTGCCATCAACCTTTGCCACGGAGCGGCCCCTTCTGGCTGTGATTGGTAATGATGGAGATTTTCGTGTTTGGGACCTCAAATCTGAAACTGTACTCCTCCATACCACCCTTCAAACTCCATCCTCGACTTCAAGACGTCTGCAAGGTGAGGGAGATGGGGGAGATGTTGAAATGCAAGACGAACCTATAAGTGATTCGCTCTCGGGCTTTCTGTGCATGGCTGCTCCTCAACCTGATGTTTCTGCTACTGCGAACATTGTCGATATTGTTGCGGTGGCGGGTCACGAACTGATTGTTTTTGTGCCTTGTCGGCCACCACCACTGGAGGAAATTAGTGAGGGGTCGAAGAAGATTCCACTTACTGCGGTAAGTGTTAGGTGGGAATAAGCTTCTTCCTCAACGTTAACGACTGCTTGTGTTAGTTTGGTTGATTGGGCATCGAATTCTTTTGCGACCTTCATGTATGCTTATGATTGTTGGCTCCCTCTGTTTTAGATGGGTAGCTAAGACGTCAGGATCAGGTTCGAGGTGGATGGTTTGATTGTGGAGTCTGTAAGAGTTAGCTGTTCTAAATTCCATCGTGTTGGATTGGGCCATTTCAAATTACATCCTTTTCAGTTCGAGTTGAGCAGTGTAGTAAAGTAGTGCAACGCTTGACAGAAGAACTGGCGTCGTATTGAAGTGACGAAATTGAGTGAAGTGCCAGTCGTTTCTTCGAAAAGCGAATTTATCTGCCTCTCCATTTAGTTTCGTACCCCTATGCTCTTTTCGTTCGTGGTTAAAATACTTCTGGCAAAGCCTCCCGATTGGTAGTTGGTTTTAGTGATGAGATGATGTCGTGGTTGTTTGGAGTGACCATGATCCTTCTGATCATTTCGGCTGTCATTGCGTTTGGTGCCTGATGTCACTAGGAGGTATTGCCACGAAATCAGCCTGCCTTCAAACACTAAAAGCTACAACCAAACTCAAGTTAAGAA